CAGGAAATTGATTGGCTTGACCTCATTTGAAATGTGGTGTTGGAGGAGAATTTTATGGACCCCCTGGACTGCCCAAAAGACAAATTAGTGGGTTCTAGACCAGATCAAGCCCAGACTCTCCCTAGAAGCTAAACTGACTAAATGGAGGCTATCGTACTTTGGTGACATTATGGGAAGGGAAGCATCACTGGAAAAGACGGTAATGCTTGGCGAAGTTGAAGGCAGCGGGAAAAGAGGAAGACCCAACCTGAGACGGATGGGCTCAGTAAAGCAATCCACGGCCCTCCGTTAGCCAGACTTGAGCAAGGCTGTTAAATACAGGACATTTTAGAGGTCATTAATTCATAGGATCACCATGAGTTGGAAGTGACTTAACGGCACTTAACACACACACACACAGCTGATTTGACTGCTCCTAGAAGTAAGTGCAGCATTCTTGCAGAGTTACAGGTTCTCCTAGAAGTCACACTAGGACCAGGGTGCCCGGACCTTGGGAAGGTCTGTGACCAAACCCTGACAAGGAGAGGGGAGACTGCAAGAACACGTAGTCTGCTCCTTCCCTCTGGGTGCTCCTCTCCATTGGGAACGGGACACAGGAAGCTGCCTTCTACTGAATCAGACCATCGAGATCAGTATTGTCTACGCAGACTGGCAGCAGCTCTCCAGGGTCTAAGGCAGAGGGCTTTCATATCACCTCCTACCTAGTCCTTTTAACTGAAGATGCCAGGGATGGAACCCGGGACTTCTGGCATGCCAAGCAGTGGCTCTTCCACCAAGTCATGGCCTCTTCCTTTTGCCACTGCTGCAGTCTTTAACTTTTAGTGGGGTGGGGTGCCCAGAGGGCAAGAGGTAATCGCATTTCCCCCCCCCCAGGTCAAAGCAGAAGTTTAGGGGAGAAAGAAGCCATGCAGTTTAGGCTTTGGTCTCAGCAAGGTTCAGGCTTTGTTTTTCATTCTTTATAGTTCCTCCTCCCCACCCCCCCTTTCCCTTGCCTTTTCTGCCTTAGCTTTTCTACTTATGGTGAGGAATCTGTGGGCAAAACAGAATCCTCCGAGAAGCATTAACGTTAAATGTATTTGCATATGCGAGGCCCCGGGTCTAAAAGGAGCCCACTAGTGGGAAGGGTGGTCGTGGAGATCATGTTGCTTCGGCTCCCTCTAGACTTGGAGCCGGACTGAATCCTTGGTGGCTACAAGATCTAGTTTTCCTCGAATGTCTTTTGTTCTTCCTTACCAGCGCCCCGGGATGTTACCCGGTGGCCGGATGCCCATGGCAGGGATGCAGGTGGGCTCTGCCGCGGGACCTCTCTTCGGAACGAGTTCTCCAATGAGACCTGGAATGCCGCAGTCCATGATGGATCCCTTCCGGAAGCGCCTGCTGCCTCCGCAGGCCCAGCCACCCTCCGCGCTGACCCAAAGGAGAGGGTAAGAAGGGGGGGGTGGCCTTTAAACTGGAGGATGTGTATGTGAGAGATTGAGGAAGTAGAACAGAAGAGAGTGCTGCTAGTGGAACCTAGCGTTTGGTATGTGTCACTCCCCAGTGATCTCGCAAAAGCCTGTGTGAGGATAAATGCCTTCAAGCAATGCTCCCTCTAAGCTGTGGAGTCTTGTGAGCAAAAACTTTAGTTTGTGAGCTACTGGCATTAGAGTTGTGAGTGAGCGATTTGGCTGCTGCATCAATTAGTTTGCTCTGGAGCCATCCTTCCTGAGCTAAGATAAAAATGTGTGAGCTGGAGGCTAAAAAACTGTGAGCTAGCTCACACTAACTCAGCTTAGAGGGAACACTGCCTTCAAGGTGTGCCACTGCCCCCCTGCCTAGGTTTCAAATTGGTGATATTTGCCAACCTCCAGGTGGCTTCTGGAGATCTCTCTCTATTACAGTTGATCTCCAAGTGACCAAAATCAATTCCCTTGGAGAAATTGGCTGCTTTGGAGGGTCGATTCTATGGCACTATACCCTGATGAGATCCCACCACTCCCCAAACCCCACAGCCCCCAGGCTCCACCCCCAAAGTCTCCAGATATTTTCCAAGCTGAGCTGGGAACCCTTCTTCTCCACCTCTCAAATTTTCCTTCCAGACTCTCCCCTCTTGTCTTTTTCTTGCAAGTGCTGTTCAAGCTACCAGCATAAATTGAGTGCTTCCGGTTCTCGCCAAATCTCTTCTAGCTTCCCTTTTGATAAAATCTTCAAGCAAATCCAGTTTTAGGCTGCTGGGCCCTCGGCTGGTGTTTTGGGACTCTGTTTGGGAGGAGATTTTTTTTGTTCAATCAGACATGCTAAATTCAGGCCCATAGCTAGAAAATCTTCAGTGGGGGATGGGGACAGGGGGAACCAGTAAATAATTAAAAAAATTAAAAATAAAATAAGACTAAATACGCTCCAGCAGAGAATAAAATAAAAGGGCTCACTCACTTTACTAAGGCTTAACTGCTTGCCTGAAGCTTTGAGGCCTGCTTTGAGACCTGACTTCAAACTCCTCCAGCAACCTCCTGTAGCCATGTCCCAGCTGCCGGGAGCTGTGCATGCAGCATCTCGGACCAGCAGCAGCAGCAGCACCCAGGCAGCTCCCATCCCCCACAGCCGAAGCTCTGGCCAATGGAGCTAAGGCAGCGGGCAAGAGAAGGGAGCCTTGATGGATGGGCCCAGCGCTGCCCCGTGGACTGACTCAGCCAGGTCATATGATGCTGGGTCACATGGCTGGGCTGGCGCAGGTGCAGGGAGGTCACCACCACCCAGCCAAGTCAGTCCACAAGGCAGCTGGCTGCGGGCTCGCTGTGGGTTCACTGCCCCACTGTTGTGGACGGAGGCATCTTGTTTTGAAATAGAGAGGAGCTTCCAGGCGGCTGTTTCCAAGCCTGTGTTGCTCCTTCAGGCCTGCCCCCGGACCCAGCCCGGAGCGGTGAGGTGGGGAACTGCCTGCACTTTGCCAGGACACACTGCTCCCACCACCACCACCACCACCAGTTAATCATGGGCAGTGTGCAGCACGCCACGGCACACATTAAGTGGGGGGAAACAAAACAAAAAAAGAGCACAGTTTTAAGGCATGGAAACCTGCGGGGCGGGGCTTGAAATTAAGGGGATGTGGCCAATGCTCCCTCTAAGCTGTGGAGTCTTGTGAGCAAAAATTCTGTATTGTGAGCTACTGGCATTAAAGTTGTGAGTGAGCAATTTGGCGACTGCATAAATTAGTTTGCTCTGGAGCCATCCTTCCCGAGCAAAGACAAAAATGTGTGAGCCAGAGGCTAAAAAACTGTCAGCTAGCTCACGCTAACTGAGCTTAGAGGGAACACTGGTTGTGGCCCCAAGATGCCCCCACCGTAGCTACGAGCCCAGCTGAATAACCACTGATAATCCACTCTCAGTCCATGTTGGAGCTCGATGGCTCTCTTGGCCATGGCTATATCCTGTGACAGTGAGGTCATTGGAGGGGCTTCAGTGTGCAAAAAAATGTCTGTTATGTTTTTTTTTTAAGCCTGTTGCCTTCCGTACTCTTTGGCTCACTGGGTATAAAGTAGTGAAATTGGAACATGGTGTTGAAATGGGGCAACTTACTAAGAAGAAGCTTAGCAACACTTCCCCCCTCCAGTAAATATCCACCCTACCCTAGCTATTTGGCAGCATGGCAAAGTAATCCACATGACTCAAGTGATTATATCTGCTGGAGGGTTTTGGTTTGTCACTTGGGAATCCCTGCATTGTTATGCAAATGTACTCCCTTATCCTTACTTTTTACTGGGTAGAGTTTACTCCCCCCCCCCCAAATTAAAGAAGGAATTTACCCTAAAGCTAGAGCATGGATGTAGATAGCCCAGGCTGGCCCGATCTCATCATATCTACATATAGCAAATGAGGAAGAAACTAGAAGAAGAGATTGGATTTATACATAACCCCACCCGAAGGAGTCTCCAGAGCAGCTTACAATCTCCTTTCCCTTCCCCTCCCCACAACAGACATCCTAGCTGATTTCACACAAGAGCTGCACCACAGTCGCGCCTCCCTTTGCCCCACTTCTATTAGTCCATTTCCCACTCGAAGCCGCACTGCCACGTTTTGACCCTCGGCTTCGCCTGATTTTCCCCGTAGTTTTGTGATTCTCAAAAAACAGGATCACGAAACCACGGGGAAAATCGGGCGAAGCCACAGGTTAAAACGCGGCCGCGCGGCTTCGAGTGGGAAATTGACCAATAGAAGCGGGGCAAAGGGAAGCACGACCGCAGCACAGTTCTTGTGTGAAATCGGTCTCTGTGAGGTGAGTGGGGCTGAGAGAGCTCTTTCAAGCACAAAATTCCAGAGCAGCTCTGAGAGAACTGTGACTGACCCAAGGTCACTCCAGCAGCTCCATGTGTAGGAGTGGGGAATCAAACCTGGTTCTCCCAGATTAGAGTCCATGCTTCTAACCACTACACCAAACTGGCTCTAATGTTAAATAGCAAGCCAAAACAGTGAGGGAAAGAAAATGCTAGCTAACAGGCTGTCTGTTACCTAAAATCCTCATTTGCTAAAACGCAGTATAATACCATCCGTTTGCCTAGAGAACACAAGAATGACAGGTCTGTGCCCTGAAGAAAACCTTGAAATCTAAAGTTTGACATGATGGACATAGTGCAATTGTAGGGGACGGGTGGGCAAAAGATGAGAGAAGCGCATGCCTTCGTTCCAGTTACTTGCCTTTCCGTGGAGAAAGGAATCTAAAGGGCGCATGTGACAAAGTCTTCATAGAAGATGTGAGTATTGAAGTTATGAATGTATTAATACAGCTGGGAACACTCATCTTAAATTTAATAAATTAAAATTAGTGTACTTTTTCTGTTAAATGATTATCTTGCTTCTTCAAAGGTGCTCAGAGCACCGTACCTGGGTGTCCCCCCCCCATTGTGTCCTCACAATGGTTCTGTCAGATAGTTTAGGCTGAGAGAAAAGGCCAGCCTACAGTCACCCAACGAGTTTCATTGTGATGTGGCAACTTCCAGCTGCAGTCTTCCCAGTCTGACAGTGTAAGCACTGCACCACCATGCCCCTCAAGCGATTGCATGAACCTCTGTCATACACCCTTCCCCTTAGACCTAGTGCATTTGGGAAATGAGGTCCCCTCCCCTTCCATGCAGAATCATGGTGCATTCATCCACTTCACAGGGTTTCTTCATCTTTTCTCCTGTTTGTCTCAAACCTGCTTTACTCCAAAGTTTTAGGGGAGATTGCACCCAAGCCTGGGCTTCTGTGTACATGGAAAAGGTTGGATTTTCCTGGACCCACCCACACAGCAGCCATTTCCCCAGCAGTAGCCATCTCCTATCTCTACTTCAGAGGGTTTTTCTTTTTTAAAAAAATGGTGATTTAATGTGTTGTATAGATATACCATTATACCAAAGCGTTCCTGAGGTTCTCTGAATTCTCAGTTTTCATGTTTTTTTAAAAAGTAAGTCTCTAGCCTCTTTCCTTGTGGAGATATATGGGGGTGGAAAATATCTCTGCAATGAAATGAGCTGGAGACTCACTTTCTAAAAAAAGGCTGGGAGAGAGAACCTGGTGCCTATTTTAGTATAGCAGTATATTAATGTAATGTTATTAAACTGCCAATTTAAAAAAAAAAAAACAATAGGGAAACATGCCATGTTGTTGCTGTGCTGTTCTAGCAGCTGCAGCAGCAGTGGGGAAACCAGACGAACTGGTCGCTGTGTGGAAAACATCCTTATCAAGGTGGTAAACTTTTTTGTACACTGAAGGGGAGGCGGTCGGTCACATGATTAAATGCGTCTCCACATTAAAAAAAAACACCCTCTATGTAGAATGCTGGTGTAAACTTGAAAAAAGGCTGGGGTCAAATTATTCTCTCTGGCTTGCTAGTTTTCTGCAAGGAGAACTAATTTTTGTTGTCTCGATAGGTACAGGTTTACCACCAGAGTCAGAACCAGATCTGAATGGACTCTTCCAGGCTTAAGGGGGGCTAATCATTCTTGTTTACAGTCATGTGGTGGGATGTGGAATCCCCTAAGATTTTAGTCTGTGTGCGGGGGGGTGTCTCTTAAAGCACCGGGTACAAATCGCTTCGGTCCTTGGATGTCCACTGCAACCCCCCCCCCCAAGGAATCGTATGCAGCTGGTAGTTCTCATCTTTGCAGGGGGGAACTTGGCAAGACCTTTTATTGATGATGTTGGCGGAGAGGCCTTGAATGCACCCACAGTCTGTTTTCAGTTAACAGAACCAGTGATGCTTGCCAGACGCTCTCAGTCCTTTCCAGGCCCCATGAACTATTGTCATGCACCAGAAGTGGGTAAGAGGTTTTAGCTGGGAATGGGAAATGCAGACAGGAGGGCTTTGGTGGGGCCGTTTCAGAGGTTCCATGACGGCCTTTCCCCTTAGGCTCTCTGCCCTGAAGTTACCTGCTCCTGACATCTTTTTGGCCCAGCCTCTGGTTCCCAC